ATATATGCGTAGACGGTGACATTCATAAAAACCGCAGTTAATGGCAACCAAGAGGAGTAGCAGGAACAATAGTTGGCCGGGACACCGGCGTCATACGTGATGATGTGCCTTATGACTAGCGCGACCGGGGCTGGCTGATGGCGTAAATACGCTGAAAAGCCTCGACGTCATCGGGATTGTCCATCTTGAAGGGACCGATGTCGATCTTTCATTTTTTATAGTGATCTTCGATCGATTGGGACGAGCGTGTGCGTTGTGTATGGATCTGTTCGTCGTCTAGGACGGATAGGACAACTGATGTTAGCTGAAATCGTTCACGATCCAGACTATTGGCGCACCGCGCCGTTCTGCGCGAATTACTTATTGCATCTCTGCCTTTGAGTAGCTAAGAAGACCAACCAGTGAAGGTCGACTGCAGCAACCGTGGCTGACCCGCGGCAATCGCTAAACGAGGCCGTTGAGGTTGAGTATTCCATAGAGACGGGAACTACTTCCGTATATCGAAATGAAAGATGAAAAGGGAGAAAATGACTCGGAGGAGCTTCATTGAGCTAGGCGAATTGGTCTGTTAAAGCACCATCATCATCTTCTCGGGGTTTAGGATTTGTTGATGTGGGAAACGTTTTTGATATTTTATGAGACACAGCAGCAATGATCGTAGTGCTGGTGTTGATGCTGCCAAAAAGGACATGTCAAGGCGTCTCTGAAAAGAGTGACATCGGCGTGGTCTGAGCGGCGAGGATAAACGGTGCTGACGGAGAAGAAACATAATAACAACAACTGCAGGGGTAAAATACGTTGAGTGTCGCAAGCTCTGCTCTGTTCTAGTGCAAGTAGCGATAGCGGACGCTCAGCATCGGTACGTTAGAGGAAAGGCGAGTGATGAAAAGAGAACGAGTCGAAATTCTCGTCTTTGGTTTCTGCTCACGCTCACTGATTGATACCGAAGGAAATTCGCGCCCCAGAACGCTTTACTTGTTGTAGACTTATGTAGGAGAGGGGTCGAAGGAATGCAGTCGTTGATATGGCAATATCCGTTGTTCTTCCGTGGGGATGAAAATGGGGTTGGGATTGAAACAGACAAAAAGAACCCGGTTCCTGGGTTAGGCCGTTTCCTAGCTACCGTTTGCCTGGAAAGATTCTTAACGGACAGTATGAGTGCAAGACACTAAAATCCAGTTGATCCCACCTATATTCCATATGCCAGATAAAATTGACACTGTACGTCAAACTACAAATATTAACGTTCTAAACTGCAATTGGGGTTTGTGACCTAGGCGGCAATTGTACATTATATTGGAATAAATATAAGATTTTTTCTTAGAAAATCGAATTTTATGGCCTAATTTTACATATTTGATTTCGAACATATTCGTTCACGTAGCGAGACGACGAAGATTACAGATTTAACGTAAACTGAAGTAGAAATGACGGTTCGAAGGTAATGATAATGCTTGTTACTTGCTCGCTTATACATGAGATTTGGTGATAGCGAAATATGGTGGGGGGTAGACAATACAGAACTGACAACCTGCAAACGGAAGCTAAAGGACATGTGAGAAATTTTGCTGAAAATATGGGTAAAGAACTTTTGATTGACAACTCAGTATTTTGTTTTCCCCTAACAAGGACACTTGATCCATCAACTTTCCCCATTTTTTAACTGTCTTAAAAGCCAAGCCTTCACAGGTGGATATTCTTATCGGATGCGCAAAGATTATCAACGCTTGTGTACGCCAAGCTGTTTAAGCCTAAAAACGGTATAAACGATTTTTTCAGCATCGACTTATCTACATTGACTTATACCAGACCGAGGACCCACAATACCGGCCTCTAACTAAGTACACAGTTGATTATTAGTACTTATAGTTAAACACCTAATAAATGCGCGTTACAAAATATTTACATTTAACTATTCCACACGTTCTCACCCGCCTTTTATTCAAGGAGCCATCATGGGAGCGTGAAAATCACGTTTTTTTTTCAAGGCTGCCCTTACAAATAAATGCTTTGACATGGATACAGCGGGCGACCGCACGAAAGGTTTCTGTCTACGTTGGGCTTCAACCCTAGATCTTAGTTCATGCGCCATGTAGGCAAACGCTACGGAAATGAATCTGATAAGTGTGATTGTCAACAAGCGCATATATGTGGTATTTTCATCGGTTCATATGTCAAAGAGAAGCGTATTTGCAAATTGTCCGCATAGCGTGTTGGAATTGAAGGTCGAGTCGAGTGGATCTGATCAAACGGAACGTTCTGCTGCCGTTGCTTTTTGATGGCGTGTAACAGCTCTGAATCGTCACTGATCTATGAACTAGTTACGATCAGGGATAGATTTTAATCAAATGCCGTACTGTAGATATGTAGCGAACAATGCGATATATAAATATTGTTGTCAATGCTAGCTAACTGGTTGAACAGCGTCGACGGCGGCAGTAACAGCGTTCGGATTCAGTTATCTTAAAGAATCATCACTGAGGCTTGAATGGATCGTAATATGTGGGTGTGTGTGATTATAGGTCGCTTCGCCAACCTAACCTAGGTACCTATCAAATCATATTATATTATCGATCTCTCCCTCTAATGCATAATATCGTCGGCTGATATTGAATCTTTGCGGAAGGTACGGGTTGAAACAATTCTGTATATTGATAAAATATGAAGCATCATCTAATGTACACTTGCGGCTAGATTATTAAAAGGTATTAGATAATAATAAATACCATTAACATGGACGTGCGGGGCAATTTACTGTAATTAACGTTTTGAATAAATAAAAAAAACACGAATCCGGCGGCTGATTACTTCGCGCGTCGACATTTCCAATGGGCACTGCGTTAATTGCCCTTTATTTCCTGGTGCCTCTTTCACTACCATCGAATATCTTTGTTTTAGTTTTTGCCTGCATTTGGTTTCGTCCAGCAGATGTCGATAGTGACGGCGAAAACTTCAACGAAATTCACGTACTTTTTCGTTGTCGTGAGTTCCGCCAAGAAAAGTCTTTATTGTAGAACTAAGCTGCTAAGTTACAGCGAGTTGAACTTCGACAAACGTCTGTTCTAACACATTGTATAAACTTATGATGTTCATTCAAAGGTGTGTGTCAGACACCACTAGTGCACTGGAGAAACGCATCGATTTATCCACGTATTTTCAAGTGCTTCGAAGCTGGTGAAATAACAAATTGGCTGAATCCGTTAACGAATTAAACGATTTTGTGTTTATTATAGTATAGAATTTAATCGTGTATGGAATACGATCGTAGAGAGAAGAAGCAATTAAACTTTGCCGAAGTCATTTGTGTGTACTCGGGCTGTTGCCCGGGTCGGGTGTACGCGATTGTACTGTACTTTGGCTACACAAGAAAGCCACGAAGATCTAACGACGAGTCACTGTTGTCTCTTTTTGTTTTGACGCTGTCTCATCTGTTCTCAGGAATGACCGGTGAGTACCGAGGGGATCAGCTGGTGGGACCCGGTTTCAAATCGGTAGTGAATGGTCCCCTGAAGTCCGGTCAGAAGGTGTACGTAACCCTCAACGGTCGGGAGGTTTGCGGGGTGGTCGACCATCACTATAAGCATCACGAACAGGTAAATATACCAATAGTTGGTAAACATAGTGTTGAAATCGTATCGGGATCAATTATTAACAAAAGGAAAAACAACTGACGATTTTAATAATTTCAATTGACAATTTATTTATTTATGTTTTTTAGGTTATAACAAAAGCTGTTGTTAGAAAACGTTATACCGCATACATGTGCGTCTGCGAGTTAAATGTTAATTCCATTTTTGGTCATAGAGGCTAGTTGCTAGGGGGCCTAATTGTTTCAGAGATTCTGTTGTTTATTATTGGTTAGAAAGGTTCAGGTCCAACTGCACACGATGAATGCCCAGTATTTCTAGAGCTTCGACTATAGAATCAGAATTTAATAGAAAATCAAAACCATCACAGATGCTATAAAATGTTTGTCACCTTGTCTAGCCGGCCTTTAACGGAGCAGAACGGTTATTTGTTCTGGTCTCGTCGTAACTCGGGTGATGGTGCCTTTGTCTTTAAGGTATTTCCTTATATGTTAAAAAAGCAAGTAATATCGCTATTGGCTATAATATTTTTTGTACGAGTCTACCGCACCCATATAATTTACCATCGTATGAAACGCTGTGTAAATAAGGTCACCAAACGAAATTCGTGAGCTCGCTTCCCTCTAGTGTTTCTCTTTTGCCTATATGACAAATCACACACACACACACACACACACACACACACACACACACACACACACACACACACACACACACACACACACACACGCACAGGCTGTTAATTTGGTTCGTTAAATTTTTCCTTGGCCGTTAACCTATGTTGTTAGCGGTGTCCCGGTGGCCTTTTCCACCCGAGTTGTTAACAGCATCGAAAATCCTAAAGGCACAGGTCAGGGTCTAACCTATTCTTCAGTGTGAAGCTGGACTTTGCTGGCATTTATCCCCTGTGCGCTGGTTTATTCCACCACCTACTTCACTGCCGCAAGAACTTAATTATGCCTCATATAGCTCAAGTTTCTAGGGGGCATCGATAACAACAACAGCAACAGAAATGACAACAATAACGGCGGCGACGACGACGACGACAGTGCCATCTGCAGGGACGTCAACCGTTACAGCGTCAACTTCATTGCTAGTGAAGTATTACAGCACAGTCATCGCGTGCAAACTGTAAGCAGCTGATAAGGCCCACGCTGAGCGTTCTTCAGATATTCCCTTCCCCTCCCTAAATACCCCAAACCCACCGCTCCTACAATGCATTGTCATTGTATAGTAGGCTGACATTGTTTCCAATGGAACTACAAAGTAGCGGTCGTGGCTACTGTTTGCCATAACGTTCCAGTCGACTGTTGACAGACGTCAGTTTAAGAAGGCGCATTCAATGTCAGGCGAAGCTTGTCGACATTTTCGGTTTCTATTTGGTCTTTAGTTTGTATTTAACGCTTAGAGTAGATGAAATTTTATTAGTATCAATCACATGTGATTATGCTGGCCTTAATACCTAAGACTCGCTCTATTAAGGACCACTGAAGATTGTTGTTAGAGCGAGTGGGTGTGTCTGCATGTAAGTTATTTTTTATAGAACAAGTTCTGGCTTTTCTATGCAACGAAACGATAGGACGGCGAAACAAAAATTTGCATGCTCGTTATATGCGACTGTTAACGATAAAGATCTAGAACAGGGTGCGAGGATGATACTTTGTTGTATTAGCTATAACCAGTGCACTTACGGGTCAACAAAGTCAACAGGAACTCATTGAACTTACTACAAGTATAGTAGTACATAATTGAAGTTAACAAACATTCTCTAACAATTTCGCTCAGTCCGGCGCAATCGAAATACAACAAAAGCCAGATAAGATTAAGCTGCGTTTCGTCTTAGATAGATGCAATGGATAACTGACAAGCGGAGTTGACGTAAGCTCAGCACTAGGTGTGCCATTTTCCTTATCGCCTCTGCTCCTTAACCAAGCTCATCGTTGTTTTTGTCATTTTCATATGACGCTGAACCGCTTCGTCTGCTAACCGTTTAAGAATATTATTATGACTGCTACTGTAGCCGTAGCGCGTTATAGTCGGGGGTGCCTCGTTGCTGGTGGCGATGGTGCTGATGATGATATCAGTAGTTTTAGTGTTAGCGTTGTCGTTAACCTTGCCGTCGCTGCTACGTCGACTTTCGCGCCATCATCTATCCTTCACGGCCACCGAGACCTTTTGTAGACTTCAGCACGTGATGCAAATTCACCATTGTTTCGAGCTCTGGGAACAGATTTTTGCTAGCTAACTTTCGTTCGCTAGCGTTCTTCGCTAGTTTAGTCGAGCAGTATTCGCATATTTGACTCTGCCGATCTACTTATCGTTATACATGTGTGTTGATAGAGTGGATAGGTGTGGGATTTTCTTACTGCCGCTGTCGGTACCGTTACGACGGCGATGGCTGTAGCTCTTTATCATTTTCCGACTATTGCGGCGTCGCTCGGAGTCGGCGCCGGTCGCTACTGCTCCAGCGGTGTGGCAAAGACAAAGCAGAAAAGTTGAGCAAAGCGAGCCGAACTGTGGGGTATTGTTTTGCAGCGACCTCTGCTACTGCCGAAACGTCACTACCGATCCGGTACGTGCCCCCAGCTGGCACTGCCACCGCCGCCGCTGGTATTATTGCCGTTAAACCCTTTCACTAACGGTAACTGCTGCCGCTAGGGCTGCTATTTAGGACTTCACCAGAGCACGAAAGCCTTGACTCGTGGCGGTTACGGGGAGGCGGAGGGCGGGGGGTGACTTGACAGCAGAGAGGCAGTCACCACGCGTCGGTTTGCCACAATGAGTGAAAAAAAACGCATTTGGGCGAAGACGATGAAGGTAAACATTACAAGAACAAAGTAACTTTTGCTTAGCCATGGGGCAGGGGAAAATTAATCTGCAGCAACTAACCAACGGAGAAATGAGCTCGTATGGGTGAAAGCTACAACAAAATTTACCATTGTCCAGAATTTTTAATGGAGTTCTTGTTGTCGTGGTGGGCTAGCTGTCCGGCGGGTGGTTTGAGAACGATCAACTGTGACGGCCAGGCTTCGCATGCGCCCACTTGTTTAGTGGCATTTTATCTGTTCGATGCATAGATATATATATACATACCACTGCGCGCCATGATAGGACAAGCACTAGTCACACATGCACACATACGCAGACAGCAGCAGGCGAAGCTCGAAATTATAGAAAAACTGTAGATAAGACGGGAACTGAGAAAAGGCCTCTTCCTATGAGTGATATTGACGCAGGCGGGTTCTAGTTATGGTATCCAAACTGCCAGTTGTCGACGGTGATCCAAATCTAAAAACACATGGCTTACATATATTTATGCTTAGCGAAGCAATTATTACACGACATATTCTATAGGTGGAAATGTCTATAGTAGACGTACGTCGATGGGTGTATACGTTTCTCGCCGGCCTCATCCAATTTCAGTGTAATTTCCTGTCAAGTTACCAATAAAAAGGAAGATGTGCACGTGGTTACCCTGTCGTACGCAAGGATCGAAGGATAACGCTAGCATTAGTGAAGATAATTACTATATCATTAACAGCATTGCTATACTATTTATCATATAAGCATATCGACAGGCAGATGAAGAATCTCCACAAGTGCATCAATAGTGCAGCTATGGATGAAGACCAGCAGTACCAATATATATAGATATGTATATATATATAGCAAATATATATATAAATATAGCAAATTGTGGAGTCTTCTTGTGTGTAGTAATATTCCAATGTCAAGGCTATCTCGAACATTATCTGCTTACAATGACAATGATGAATAGCAGAGTTCTGAATGGACTCCAGAGCGATGCGTGTGAAACACGATGACCACAATAGCTTGTCATTATTTTCGTTTCATTCAGCCAAACACCCACTCATAAAAATAACGATAATAATATCTAAGTTAGCGCCAGAACAATCAGAAGGGTGATGTCATGCCGCCAACGAGCAGGATCTTGTCCGCCGCTGACGTACATCTATACTGGTGCCGCCAAGACGCGAAACAAGGTAGCACTTCATTCCGATCGGATCACGATGAATCTACTAGAGTTGAGAAAGTTCGATCTGTGTGCACCAGGAGAATACATACGAGCTATCAGGCCCAGCGCGCATGCTACGGAAAAAGGCAACCCGGTTGCCGTTGTATGGGGCTGCTTCTTATTTTTAGAGGATTATATTAACTTAGACTAGGTGTTGGAAATATAGTAGAAGTCTACTATCTTTATGCTTAAGCAGTCTCAGTTCGCTGTTATTTCAGACGGCCCGTTACTTTTCCCCAGCGAGATTCGAATTTGCATACCTAATCTTGTGAGGTGCTAGCCGACATAACCGGTCCAGCTTTGAACCGGTTATTTCAGCTGCTCCTGCAAATGAAATAGAAAGCAATGGATTTTACTGTTGATATGGTCGTCATCACAATCTTTCCTTTTATCTTCATGTTATCTCTATCGATCCGTCTAAGTCTTGCCAAGTTTTAAGCGAGCTTCACCCCGTTCTATCGCTGTACGCTTTCGTTTTACATGCGATTTACGTTGTTCTTCCCCTCTGTTCATTTAACACGCACTCGCTGAATGGCCGGCCTGCTGGCCTGAACATATGGTTTTTCGAGCTATCTTCCGCCGCCATTATTACTAGCAACAAAGCAATACTTGCACATGCGGCTACAACATTGGCTGTCTTTTCCGCTAATGCGATTTCAGTTATTTATTTCGTTTATTTACTGGCTTGTTTACGCTATAGCGCTTCCACGACTATTCAAGTCCCGTTCCTGTATCGCGCTTGACGGTTCATATAGAAGACTAAATTTTGAAATCCCAGCGCGAGGGGCATGCAAGAGTTTAGATTTATTCCTTAGGAAGTATTCGATGATTGCTCTATACGATTGAGCATTTACTTTTGTTCTATTACAAGATAGGTCGTCATATATCACTCTTAAATATATGCTGTGTGTTTCCGCTATCCTATTACAGAAAAATCAATGCCCAAAGTTTGCGGTGACAACTTCTCTTA